CAGTCTCCTCAAATCTCACTTCCACTTCATCATCCGGCAAAAGTGGCACTCTCTTTCCACAGACCGGTCTCTCGGGAAACCCGGTAATCACAACCGCAACCAGCAGTAGTTGTACTAACCTCCAGTCGTTTCTGGCCTCGAACACGGCGGGTTCATCGGTGCGCCCGCCAGGATCTGGGGTCAGGATCAACAGCCCTCCAGCCTCCGCCGGGGCTGTGCTACCTCACCGGAGGACGGCGGAGGGCAGCTCAACGGATGCGACTGGACAGTCGGGCGTCGGAATGAAGGCGGAGGCAGGAGACGACTCAGCAGGCTCAGGCTTGACGGCCAACTCAGCAGTCTCGTTGCTCATGAATCTGCGACTCCGTGGAAGCAGCCCACCGGCAAGCCGATTTGTCGGCTCAACCGGAGTGTCTTCGAGTTCTGGTACCGCCGTTGACTCAGCAAGACGGACTGCCGCGGACGTGTTGACTCGAGCCAGATATGGCAGTCTGAACGAACCTCGCCAGGTCCACGGCTCCTCTTCAGGTGCGGCTGTTGCTGCAACTGTCAGCGGAGGAGGCAGTGCTGCTGTCACCAGAGGTCATGGCAGCGGAAATAGTGGTGCCAGCCCACCATCTGAGATGGCCGGAAACCATGAGGCCAGACCTCCGGGGAAAGAGGGGACCAGCGGAATCAGCTGCGCTACAGCGGTTGCCAACGAAACGGGAGGTGGAGGCCAATTGAGTTCGCGGGGAGCGCAGCATGAAGGAGTGTTTAGTCCTCCCAAAAAGTTGTCGGGTACATTTAGACTGTTCGGGAAGAAATCCAAGCAAACATGAAACCTGGTATTCGCTTTCTTGCATGGTGCTTAGAACCATGTAATAAATAAATCAGTGTTCTTTTTCATTCCTTCTTCCAAATGGTTGAGTGCAACCCTCACCTGGGCACAAATGAATGACTGATCGGAAGAACCGTATTTAGACCTCTATGAAACTGTGTTAAGATTTTTTCGTCTCTCATGAGGTATCCAGCTTCATTGCCGACACGTCAAACCAAGAGAAGAATAAAAACCCTTTCTCGCCCTTGGTGGCATAAGATTCTGAGGGACCGATAGTCGGGTTTCTCCATAATGGCAAGAATAGGCCTCACACTGCCATTCAGTTTCACTCAATCTTACCTCCAAGAAGGTACTCTTGTTCTGGCTAAACTACAGTATCAATCTTGCCTGGGTCTCATTAGCTCCTCCAAGAGACATAATGCTCTTTGGAGGCATAGCTGCGTAAAATTCAACTACATCGCGAAGTCTACTCATATAATTTTGGCAAAATTCGACTACATGAGATGTGTTCACCCTATTTGATTTAAGCCTATGAATGATTGGTAGTTGCATTTTCAGACAATAATATAGGTGGACATGAAGTTTCCATAGAATATCATATATCCTTGCTTATAAAAGTTATTCTCATCCAGGGTGGACTGCAGTTT